ACGAAGGAGGGAAATGGCTTGGTCTTGCTCATGGCCTCCATCTGAATGTTTCATTGAAGTATCTAAACAGCATGGGAGTAGAGAGTTGAAATTTTTTGCAGTGAATGGTTTGAGAGTTTTTTTGGAATCAAGGGTTTTCATTTGGGGCTGTGAGGTTTTGAACGTATTTAATACGTGATTAAATGTTTTAATTAGTTTTAAGAGTACTATTCAAAATTCTCATTTTTAGAGGGTATTGTGCCTAATTTCCCCATAGAGAATTGGAGCCGTTCGTGCGTGCTGCATTTCACGATTTTGCTTGGACGTACAACTAAATTAGTGGACTAAATCAAGTCTCTTGGTTGGTGGAGCAGGCCAGCTCAATTTGTCTTGGATACTAGCCCGTTTGTTGTTTTTTGACTGAAAAAAAAGGAGCACGATTTTCGTCTCTTAATGAGAGCTTCTTTTCCACATCCTTGCTTTTATGAGTTTATCGATCAATTGTTGGATATATTCTTTAAGTAACAGGAGGAAGTAGACGAGAGAGTTGGAGATAACTCGGAAAAATTAGAAACGAGGAACTTTTAATTTTAAAGCATGTTACAGAGTCACTTTTTTAAAGACGTTATTTTCCCGGTAGTTCATACGAAAAAACAAAATATGTTTTCATCGTATAATAGTGAATAAATTGTTTACATCACATACTGACGAAAACTCTTAGAATGCCAATTGAAGAAAAAATTTGTACATATGTAAAGGTTCATATATCTTTCCATAGTGACGGAATACAAAAAGACTTTGAAAAATACGATATAAGAATTTCGAGATTTTAAAGGTCGATAATAAGAAGATAATTTCTGCTTTTTCATATTTGTTTAATCCAAATATGTTGAAGCTATATATAGATTTCTCAAATACCCTTTTTTAATAAAAAAAAGTTGGATTTAATGAAACTCGACCAATCAGCACATCATTTCTTCACATTGACACTTGAGATAGTTCATTCAGGCTCAGTCGAATTAAGTTAATAATTTTTTTTTGGGTTTTGCTATAGGTACATAACACAATACATATGGGTGTTCATAATGGACACATGGAGACCCCCTATTAGAGTGGGGCCTGGGCCCGCAAGCTCATCCCCAATAGTGAGCCTCCATGTGTCAATTATGGACACCATTATGAAACATGCTATGCACACATAGCATTTTCCTTTTTTTTTTCTCCATCGTTCTAGGTAGCCCAATTAGTTAAATACTTCTAGTCATTCTCTACCAACCCTACCCATGTTACCTCTTGTTCTTGCGATATTAATGTCTATTGCTAGTGAAGGACTATTGGAATTGGAAGTTTCATACCATCATAATGAAATTAGTTGACTTTTGTTATAATGTTGTCGACGTAACAATAAAATCCTATTAGTGTGTGATATTTTCACTGCATTTATATGAAAAACTCGATCTCCCACTAACTAAGAATATAATGTTCAAATAAACACTTTTAGCGATAAATATGCTACACCATAACAATGTTGAAGTTAATGTTATGGTGTACGATGATCTATTAAGCACATGTTTAATAGAAATTAAAATTCAGATTTTAATATAAGTTAATGTCAATAACTAGTTTTAACCACACATTTTATAAGACTCATAATTTTTCAACAACACGTTTCATCAATTCTTATCAAAATCTACTAAAAATATGATTTTAATCCTAACCAAACAGAAGCTAAATGTCAAAAAATTATGATAAAGTAATGTTTGTATGCACATTTTTCTTTGAAGCACCGTAAGATCCGTGCCAAATTAAATTGAATTCCCCGCGAATGGCGGCCAGGTCATGCCTTGTATTTGTCCAATTTATTGCCATTTTCTATCCCTTTCCCATGGTTGACTGAATTGGAAGCATATGCAACATCAGCTGGAAAATGATTGAGGCCATGTTTGGTAGGGATTAAATTTTTTTACAGTAAATCAATTCTCATTTTCAACCACATATTTTTCAACAAAATAATATTTTCCATGACATCAATAATTTTTTCTTCTTTTTCAATCACACATTTCCCTTCATATCACTATTCAA